TCCCTACACAAGAAGAATATGGCATTTTTCTTTATAACATATGTGCATCATAGTAGCTTTTCTAATTATGTAACAGAAATGTTTTCCTGAGCTTTTCTCTTAAATCTACAAACACTGCTTTGGCCAGAAAAGGTCTGATTCAGAATAATTTTGGTAGCCCTGGCCATGCTAATGAACATACAAATCTAATTTCATGGAGCTAGTGGACTGGCTGTGCAGTTAAATTGGCATCAACAGAGTTGGTTAATAATGACACATACCAGCATTAATTTTGCAGGTGATTATTAGATTTGTTTTTTTTTAATTGTCACTCCAGGGAATTAGTTGTCCAGGGCACTTTGTTCTGAAGATGCATGATAAGAACCCATGGCTGTGGAGACTTTATTTCAGGACTAAAATTAAATCCTAGCTAGTGTATAGTGGATTAATGATCATGGTTCTTCCCCAGTCAGTACCCAGAACATCATTGCTGCACAGTAACTAGAGTGCTACAGTGATGCTTTCAGACCTGATGCTTTCTTTTTTTTTAGAGATGTGACTTCAGAAACGAAAAAGGAAAAGGGAAAGGAAAGAAAAGAAAAAAAAAAAAGGGGGGGGGGGAAGTTTGAGATAAAGCAGGCTTCACATAGTCCCAGCACAGCCTCTATTTTTAGCAGGATGCTTTGCTCTTACTTTCATGGGTTCTTAAACTCCTTAGACAACTCATGATGGAAGGTTTGACAGCATGAGCCTGGGAGAAGACTGGGAAGGAATGCAAATCAGGTCAGCAGGCATTTTCATCTAATTGTAATAAGTAAAACAATAGCTGAAGCTGCATTGCCCAGTGTTCCTTCCCCCAGCACAAAAGCTTTTCAGGAAGGGCAGTTGCCCTGTGGGACACTGTGTCCTGGGTGAAAGCACATGCCCTGGCTTTATGGCAGACAGTGTCCTTATAATTCTTTGATCTGATTTGGCTGTGGCTTTTCACAGTAAATCTGAATCATTCTATTCTCAGCTGTTAAGGTGACATTGTAGCATGCAGAAAGTTGTAAGGGGCCTATTAATACTCTGTATTTAGAATAAAAAATCTGAACTGTGGACAGACAAGGAGACAAGTATTAGTTTATCACTTAAAAGGCTTATTCTAGAGTTCTGAAGCATTTGCTGTAGAACTGCCCAATGTGATATCCAGCAAACTGTAATACTCAGGAGACATGCTAGTCAGCTTGACTGAAAGGGTGAAGCCTTAGCAGCACTCCATCTATGGCCTGGAGAGATTACTTGATGCTGTACACACATACCATCATTCTCCAATAAACACAGCCCCTTTTGTCAGTGTGTGTGCACGCACGCCTGTGTTCTAATGAAGGCAACTCTGTACAGTGTGTGGAGAATAACTTACAGCTTTGTGTATGTGCCAACTTCAGTCTGGTGTCCCAGTCCAGAGTAGTGGATAGTGATTCCAAAAGAGTCACTGCTCTAAAGGAATCAACTTCAGCAGTTTTATCATGAACAAATGTGGGCAACACTTTGAAAGGGTCTGAAGTGTCTTGTAGCATCATCCATGTGTGATTTTGTGCTGACACTTTAAACCTGCACAGTTGCCTCATGGAGATATTCTTGGAGAATGTTTTCAGCTTGTTTAATAGCAATTCTGCAGGCACCTGGGAGAATTTCAAAAAAGATAAATGTGCTTTGTTTGGGTTTTTGCCCTCATTTTCCACTACCTGTCTCATTTTACAGGTGGCCGCATCTGCTCTTTCTCCCCTTGCATTGAACAAGTCCAAAGAACCTGCCTGGCGCTGGAAGAATATGGTTTTACAGAGATTAACACCTTGGAAATTCTGCTCCGAGTTTACAATGTACGGACAATTAGCTTGCAAATCCCTGACCTTGGAAAAGCAGCTGAGGATAATTCTAGCACTGGCTTTGACAGCAGCAACCCATCAAGCCAAGGTAGTCTGTGCACTAATCTGCAGCAAGGAGCTGTGCAGTTCAAAAGTGGCGTGCCACTCAGGGAGATGGTTGGGCACACTGGATACCTGACCTTTGCCACCAAGAGCCTCTTTTAGTACATGCTGAGTTCATGCAGTTTGTAGTGCTTAGTGTGTTTGTGTATGTTTTCTGTTTTCATGGTTCTTTTTTGTAGGGCATCCAAATTTTTACTTGTCAGGGAATTCCATATATAGTCAGATTTGGTTGGAATATGCTTTGTTTAAATAGCACACAACCATTAACCAGAGCAGCATCAAGGGAATGTTGGAGCTCTGGAATGGTGCTCCACTTGCCGTCAGAAAGAAGATAAATTAATAACGAGTGGCCATTCACTGGAATGTGCAGCATAAAGATCCCCCCGATAAATAAGCAAAACAAACAGCACACTAATTGCAAATAAATTTTTCCTCCTCTTTTCTGAATTACTTTCTCAGGTTTACATTTATTTTTTTTTCTAGCATCACTAGACGCTTTTTTTCTTTTTAAACTTCTGTAGTGTCCATCTTGCTCTTAGGAATGTGAAAGTGCCTAGTTGCTTAATTTTAAAGATAAAAGTTGCAAGGTCGTAAGGTTGCCAGCGTGACCAATCACAGAATGAGTGTTTCCTTGGAATAGTGTTCAGCTACACAGAGGATTATTGGCAATGCTCAGGAACACAACCTCTTACTTCATTCCAGGCTGGCATCTGCAAATCATTTAGATTACACAATGGTCAAAGAATTGTGCTAATTGTTGGATTTGGTTTAAAATAATATATTGTGCTTGTCAGTTTCTAGTAGAAGTTTGGACTTGAACTCACATTGTAGCCTTCTAATAGATCATCCACTTTCATAGATGATGAATCCACTGTGAAAATTCACTAAACAGCTGGTTAATATCTGGACACCTCTTTCTAAGCACTGTGTCTGTGGTTCTGTTAGTTTGGTGTTTTGTGTGCATTATGGTGTATTTTCTTCCTGCAGTTGAATGTCAGATTGCTTTTAGCAGGATTTCTGTCTCCAAATTGCAACAACAATGCAAACTTAGTAAAATCCTCACCCAGCTTTCTTAATTAAGTTTTCAGACCATTTACTCTTTGGTTTTCCATACAAAGCTGGTGGGTGTGATGAACTTATTTCAATGCTGGATTAAATTTTCTATTTACAGATTAAAATAATTATGCACATTTATACAGTTCTCTCTTTTTATTATTTCTTTTTCCATTTATTTAAGTAATTCACCAATATTTTTATTCCAGCCACTAGAACTGTCTCTGGAAGCATTAGCTGTGCTTTGCACTTGGTACCTGAATATATTATTGCTGTGTAAGAAAAATAACCATTCATAAACCACTGCCTGAACATTTGAACCTGATTTCCCTCCCCCATTCTTGACAAAAATAAACAAAGCTAAGCTTTTAACATGTTATAGCAGAACACTAATCCATAATGGTTTAAAGAAAGCTCAGCCGATCACGACAGCAGAGATAAACTGTTGAGCAGATTAAAGGCAGAAAGCAATTCTGTTGAACTAAATCAGTTATGTAAGTTGGCCTTCAACTGTAGCATTTCTTCAGAAATTATGTGAAAGTTCTCCTTCTCCTGCTGCTGAAGTCCTCTAGAAAGGTGTGGGGTGAACTGTTCACACTGTGTATGTTGTTTGGTAGCTGTGTTATGGTGACACGCTTGCACGTGTATGCTTGTGCACGTGTGTGTGTGTGCTTAAACCACCACCATAAAAGTATGGCTAAGGTACTAACATAAACTAGAAGAAAGGACGGGGAAAAACAACATTAATGCTGCCAGGTTGTTCTTAACTTCCTTCAGGGTGATTCTCAATCACTAATAAGTGGGATCCCCAATCTTCACCAGGGATAAATCCAGCCCTAGACTTGATTCTTTTTTCTGGCAGACCTTATTTTAAAATAACATAACATTTAAACAGGATTAAAGAGGAACAGAGTCACATTTCTGTCTTCCAAACAGATGTGGAAAAACCAATGTGTCTTCATGGAGTTTGAAACAAGGCTGATGCCCTTTTTTGCCTACAAAGCCCAATTCAGAATCCCTTGAAATAAACCATTGACTTTCTGTGGTCCCATATTGATTTGATCCCTGCTGAGGAAGGGCAAGCATTGCATAAGAGGAGAAGGATTTCATTTCTGTCTTTGCAAAAAAGGCTTCTGTGTTTTTGTTGCCAATCACAGCCATGGCCAGCAGCACCACACCACTTCCTGCTGTTCCTTTGTTGTCAGGGTCACAAGGAGGATCCCACACTGTCCAGCATGGATGGTACAGTGCTGCCAGAACTCCCCTCTGTTTAAATCTCCTTATCATCCCCTGTCTTTTACATTCAGGCTACGTTCCCTACCAGAAGTAGTAAATCAGATACATGGATCTTTCCTGCCGCACTGGGGGGGATCTGCGGGGGCCAGGCCTACAGGCCTTCTCTCATTAATATGTTTTAGTCTTCAGTTTGGAATGAAGTATCTTTTCTGACACAGTTTGGTCACGCACTGGCAGGCTGCACACTTTCATTGCTCCCATGTGCTTGGACCCCTCAGTTGCTGTGGACAAGCACCAGTACTCAGCTCTGCAGGACAGCCAGGTTCAGCTTGTCCTGTTGTGTATACCCTACAAGCTCGTGTGGAGAGCTGTCGCAGAGACCTTGCAACCTACAAGACGAACAATATTGACTAAGATGAGGCTTGTGAAACACTTGAGAAGTCTTCTGCTGTTAGCTGTTTACCTGTGCTTTAATTAAAGCATTACAGATCTGTATCTCATTGTGGTTGTTCCCTGCTTACCTGTTAGCACAGCACTGTTTTCCTCTGAAGAATATGTGATGGTAAGTCCTGCTTGAGAACCTTAAAGGGATAAAGTAACAAAAACTCTAGGAACTCACTCTTCTGCTTAATATCCTGCTCTGTCTTCTCCTTAGGTACTTTTTGATACGTGATGGTGAGGAGATGGTTCTTCCTGGGAAGCATTCCAGAGATGAGGGCTCTGGTTCATGCTGACTCCCTCGAGAGTACATCTGCGCTCCATTAGTCCTGGTCAACTGGATGACTGCGGAAGTCATGGTGACCTAGAAAGGAGGGGGGCCCAGAGATGCAGCAAACCTAGATCTGCTTGTAAATACTAGTGCACGTCCCAGCAGAGTCTGCATCATTTAGGTGGGTGACTGCACTGAGCAGCCCACTTGTTTATGCCATACTAGGTTCCTTCTGGGAAGAGACTGGAGACAACTGTGCCCTCCTGGTCTTGCAATTCAGTGGTGTGCGGTGCTGCCAGTGCACCTCTGATGCCAGTGGGAGCAGTGCAGACTCAGAAGAGGAGGGTTGAGCAATGGGTGGGCTCTGTCTCAGCTTCTGCTTGCACAAATATGAGAGGCACAATAAGAGAGCAAAGTGGGAGAGTCAGCGTTGCATAACCATGATGTTACACCAAAGGTACGTGCAGCTGGGACTAGTCAAAGGGAGGAAGGGGGTTACTCTAGTACCAGAAAGTTCTGTCTGTGTCACCATGAGGGAAAGCATTTACGTGCTGCTGGCTTCTCTAAGTGCTCCTGAGGAACTATGTTGTTCGGATGCCAAAAGAGGGAAGCCAGATTGTGTTATTTCCTTTCTCTCTACGTGACAGCTTCTGAACTAGAATGAATCTGCATTACTATCAACACAGGGAACAAATAAACCTTGAATTAAATAGTCAAATAAAAATAATCCTCCTCACTGGTATCCAGCCTTTTACCTGCATATCTTGCCCAGTAGCCCTGTGTCCTTTTGTAGGCTGTTCAGGACTCACTGTTCTCTGCCACAGGGCAACATCTTTGAACTCTAAGGTTAGCTGGTTGATATGCTGATAGAAATAAATACAGAACACAGCTGGGAACAATGGCCTGTGGGGCATCTCGCTGCACCTGCATGTTTCTATCTGGCTGCTAAGGTAGATTGCTCACAACTGCTTTTCCCTAGATGTAGCACAGTCCCTTCATTATCCCCCTTCTGCCCTCAAAGCTAACAGACATACTGCTACCACCAGCTCTTCCTGGCACTCCGAGGTGACTCAGGTGGCACAGCCAGGTTTTTGGCAGAGGCAGGCATTTTGCTCTTCTCTTTACTGGCCCCCAGGGTGGGGAGAGGGGCTATTTTTTGCCACCCCACCAGGACACGCAGCCGCAGAGGCTGTGCAGGTCCCGCTGCTGCGAGGTGCTGTGGTGAGAAGCCGCCCGAGTGCTCCTGACCCTGGGCACCCTGGGAGGGAGGTGTGCTGCCATGGGAACAGCACAGCATCACTCAAGCTGCTGCAGACCTCAGCCTGAAGCTATTTCGATGGGGGCTGAGTGGGTTGATACTAAATATTGTACTCCTTTATAGTTCCAAAGAGAGTGGTTTGCATGAATGGTTCGAGTGGACCTGTGGAGTTCTTCCCAGTGTCCAGAGAACTGCAGGACATGTCAGAGGCCTGGACCAAGTGAATTCAGAGCTGCTGCTCCCAGAGGTGCTTACTGAGCAGTCAAGGCTAGTAAGTAGAGGAAGGAGCTTTTCCATCTTTTTCCTGTTGCATTGATACTGATTCAGCAAGAAGCCTGTGTGCATGACTACATCTAGTCAGCCAGGAGAAACTGTTGCTTTAGCAACCTCCTTTTGTATTAGGCCCCATGCAGGAAGGGGAAGTCTGTAGTGGGATTTTCCTCTTTTCTGTTGCTTTGGGAAGGGCTGTAGTCCCCCTCCTTCCTTGATTCAAAAGAATGTTAGCAGTAGTTACCCCTAGCACAGGTGCTAGGTCCTAGCTAGTCCCTAGCTCAAGGACTCAGCATGGCTGGTCTCTGCACATGTGAAATTAAAGGTTGTGATCTCAAAATATTCTGAGCCAAAAGTTGGTTTATTCCACTTGGAGGGGTGAGGAAGATGGTGAGATCATAGGCTCTGTGTACTTTTGCCTTGGTCCCCCATGTCCAGAAATTGTCCATAAAGCACTATTTCAGAATAATTTAAACAAAAATCAATTGGCTGGATGTGAGAACCAAATCTTCTTGGAGGAGGAAGTGGAAGAAGCAGTAGCAAGGTCGAGAATGATTTCTGGGAGAAGGCTCCTCC